TACCAAATAATGCAAAACCCAAGCCATCCGTGTCGCTCTCTTCTGAAATTATCACCCAACGTTCATCTTAGAGGACATCCATTTAAACTAGTGGTCCTAAAATGCCGCTTGGAATGCCGGCGTTAGTCATTCGCAGTCAGAGTGCGTTTGATCTGGAACTCTCTACCATCCTACGTCGTCTGTGCTCCAAGCATTGAGTCTTTCAAACTGAGGCTCGATGAATCATTAGCACACCTTACATTCCAACATAAGTGAAGCTGCGTGCAGCAGTGGAAAAAGCACGTATTACGTGACATTTTACACAGAATTGTATGTATCACTGTTTCTTACTCCACCGCACGAACCTATGGGACCAGAAAAGCATGAGCTTGTAAGTTAATCCCATAATAAATCTTTGAATCTTTGAAGTGCACTTATGTGATAGCTTGGGTGCGACGGTTCATGTTGTAAGTTCTTTTTTTTAAGAAGCTGTTATGGACCGTAAAGTGGTATCTATCACGGGCAAACTCAATAAGCGATTTAGTTAGAGAATGACTATGAGCGGATGGTTAAGAAAAAATATTGAGAGATGTGGTCCTTCTTTGGCACGTATTTTGTTACTAGCTGAGTATTTCATTTTCCATTCATTTCTCATTTAGTGGATAAATAATTGAGATCAATAAAAAGTAAAAGCTAATCAACATTGAAAGCGAAGTTAGCGAACATTTACCTGATCGTGAAAAGACGGTAAGTATCGAAATAAGTTCCGAGGAAAGGAAGTGCATGTCATCAAAATGTGACAATATTCCCCATTGAGTGGTCACGCAGAAACAAGTAAGCAAACAAGCACATTTTCGGTTCCACATCAAACAGAGCATATCAACGGAGCACCCTCAAAATCCACAGAAAAATTTACCTCCTACAAGTCATTAGTGGATAACAGCATATGTATATACGACCCTGACAAGGATACCGATATTGCTTTGGAGGACTTCTGTGGGGCCCATCCGAAAATAAAGTTCACTGAGGAAAAGAAATTCACAGATGGTCCTGTATTTCTAGACGTGTATTTGTCTCAACGTATAGATAGATGATTCCATTGGTAGCAGCATTCATCATAGGAATACATGGGGACAGTATACACTACCTAGGTTTCGTCCGATTGCATCGGAAGAAAGATCTGATTCACTATTTTATCAATGGAGCTATGAAACTTTGATCTGCGAAATTTGAACTGGAAAGAAAGCAAGATGTCTTTCTAGCGAATGGATAGCAATCAAGGTTCACAAAAATATTGAGCAAACAAATTTAATCATCCATCAAATTCACATACATTGTGACTGTACCTCGAATTATATTCACTTCTAAACCTGTTCTTTGAATGCAAACCAAAGACCGATTACCCCCGGATACTTCATTTTGTTTATCAACTCACCTGTTCCTGCGAGGAAAGTCATATGGGTCGAACGCATCAAGGAACATCATCCTAGCTGATTGAATCAGGAATGATTAGGACCGAGGCGACAGCATTCACGAACCATTTGACTGGGCCTAATCACCCACTGTGCTAGAGGCTTTCCAGCCTCCATGCGGTCAAGGGAAGTTATCCAGAAAGGTCAAGTTCAAAATTGTCAACAGCCGCCTCCACAAACCCCTCTCCCCCGTTGACCCCAAAAAACTTCTTATGAACAGTGGTCTTACCATCGCCATCCACTTACAATTTGGTTACGCAACCTTCGTACGTAAATCCTCATCTTCATTCACCCACTCCACCTTTCACACCCATCCTGCATCATGCAACCTCTACGCATAAACTCACCAACGCCAAACATACCAATTATCACAATAACATCATCTCTTTCTAAACCCTGATTTCCTTTGCCGATGTCTGCCCTCACCACATGCATTTAGCCACTTGATGTAGCTCCAAAAAGCGCGTGTTTGTTAACTTGATCACAAATCAGCGAAATTTCTTGCATTCACGCCCCCATTATTTTGAATGGTTTCTCCCTGCTCGTTGGTCGCCAAGTGTTAAAGATCATTAAATTTTCGCCCCGGAGGACGTATGCTTGAATCGAACCACCACCACCGCCGGAATTCCTTCATTCTGTGTCGTATGACCACCCTTTGATTGGCCGTTTCCCCTTCCTCAAACGTGTATCAATAAATTTTCAACCAAAGGAAGTAAAAATGAAACGGAACCATCCGAAGGTAACAGGACGTGAACAGAACTGAAGTTTCTTCGCAGGCAACACGTCTAAATTATTTATTTAAACCACGGTCATTAGTTGTTTAACGAAATTTGGTTTTAACATGTTCAGTAGTGTGACGCAATACCTCTATAAACTGAAGGTAAAACCAAATATTTAAGGACAATTGCAATCAAGATGAGCTCGTAACGCTGCAATTGGAAAAATGAAACATTTGTTTCTTCAGATGCACGAGAGGAGAATACATTCGACCAGGGAGGACGATAGTGCCAGATTGGTCAGTTTACGCCAGTGGCAGGTTTCGTTGTATCCGCACCTTTACAATAGCACTGGAAACTACAGCCTATATCAATTGCACACGGATCCATTCCCCGTCCCCCTCCAAACTAAGCAACTAAGCAAACTAAGCCCCTGTCTGTCAAATCACACGTAATATGCCAGTTTCTACATGTATCGTATATTAGCAAGACCGATAGGTGTATACGCACAGAACAAGGAGCAGGCACTTCACGCTGAGTTAGACTCTGGTTGACCGACTTACATGATCAAAGGTCAATCTCCAACGTGACCTTCGAATATCTCTCCCGCTCGCACACACGAACAAACATACAAACGCACACACACACACACACACGCATACACAAACACGATCACACTCAAACCACACCACGCTATCATCAATCACCTACTTTGCCCAACTCGGTGGAACACACAAACAACCTGTATCGACATATATTAATGATGAATCACGGTCCGAACCCGACAAACCTAATAAGATTCCTACATGCCAAATGCAACCACCTGACTTGCAGGTTCGTGAAACAAGCACAAACCTGACCCCGGGGGTGCGAAAACAACTGTCAGTCAAATTCATACTGGTTTGACAGCGTTAAAAGAGCATGATCATGATCAGTCCTGACAATATTTGTTTACAAATAATAAACTTTTGAACGATTGATGGAGATTGTTATTATCTTATATGTTGTACCTGCGAAAATGCGGTGAACTCTGTCTAATCACATCCAGCACACCTAGCACGATACTCTCTTCTCTTCATGAGAAGGATAACAAAATATAGATAATCCTTATAGGTTTTCAAATTATAAATATTATCATATATGCAAAACAATAAAAATGTGAAGACCGCATTGAGACGCGAAGTATCACAGCAACTTCAGATATCCTTCTACCAAGTCAAAAGTCATTCAATAAATCCTATTACTAATTATGCAGTATATTGACAAAAAAATGCTTGTCCATCTTGGTGACTGAAGTTTGTTGCACAGCCTCACAAAATGCGATTTACTGTGGAGACTCAGTGAGCGATAACTAAAGATCGTCAGTGAAATAAACATCCTTATTCAGAGGCCCATCGTTTTACTCCGGTAAACACTGCGCACCAACTACGGATCATGTCAAATTAAAAAACAAAATAGAATTAAATGTATTTGTTCAAACTGTGCTCAAGATATAATAAAAATGGGCATGTGTATCTCTATAATCGTTCTCTGGAACTAACCGTGCACCGTGATTCGCCAAATCTGCTCCTCAGTACACGTGATTGCATTGAACGTAGACTGAATTTGTTCCACACCTCTAATCTGAGGTCTTTGCTCCAAATGATCCACCAGAGTTCCAACAGGCACCGATCGTGCGGTAGTAGTTCGATTCACCCGTCTACTTGCAGTCGGAGTGATGCCGGATGCGAGTGAGCAAAATGCAAACCGTAAAACTGAGTTTCGTCGTTCTGAATGGGTAGAAAGAAAACCGATTAGATGAGTCGCTGGGAAATGATTCGAACCACGGTCGGGATGTGCCCTGTCCCTTCTAGTTACTTGAGGAAAGGAGAACGGTTAGGGTTACTGGATCCTGCATGTAGCAAGATCCGAAAGGATAGGTTAACCCAAACCGATACGTTTTATTGCACAACAGCATTGATAAGTTAGAATGAGTTGAACGCGAATTGTTTTTTCAGCAAATTCAATGATTTCTTCTTCCACATTGCCTGTTCGTACAGCATTTTGGCATGTTCCAATAGGTATATTATAGCAATATAGTACTTTGAATATTCTCATGTCTTGATTTATAAGGACTTTAGTGCAACAACAACTAAACCAAACCCTTTTCGGAATGATTATATATTGCAATAAAAGGATCATTTCTTACTTTGATATTTGTATCCGATATTTTTCAATTTCGTGATATAACATTCATTTCAATTAGTAACACTGACGTTGAATGGCTCCAGAGGTCTGATTTGGCGGTGAGCCAAACCCCAGAATTGTCACAAATATGGATTTTCAAATTACTCAGAAAATTAATGTTCCCAGGGCGAACGTAAAAGTTTAAGAACACGGTTTTACTGAGATGGAGTAAAGAAACCTGCTTTTTTCGATTTCAAATGTCTATCTCTGCCAGTGACTGTGTTTGATTTGGGCGTAAGTTGAAAAAGCTGTCGTGCACCTTATGATGCAGTGAAAGATGTAACGATCAATAAAAATAACCGGTTGATTGCACTGATTCAACCATTATACGGTATGAAAATGTTTTGGAAGTAAAAGATTATCATTCCGTCTGACAGAACCCGCTGTTTTCATCAAAAGGAGAGATATTGACAATCGAGATATACTTGGATTTAGACGAAGCTTTTAGATGATAAATGTTTACCTTTTCAATAGTAGTTCCAATATTTCCATTAGGATTTTGAAAACGGGATATGTTATCTGACCGTTTGGCTCTATAACGTTTCTTTACTAATAGTGTTAATCCGTTTTTTTTTTGACGGAAAATTCAGTTCAAATCCCATGAAGGCTACTAACTATTTTTAAAGGGAAATACATCTCTTTTGCTTTTGAATATACAACTCAACGATTGTAAGAAACGACTGATGTTGCACACGTTGCTCAGTCAAGAGACTTCTGATTTCCCCTTGGGAATCCGGTATGCTTTGTGTGCTTTAGACGAACAAAATAAAAACTAATTTGTGTATACGCGGCTACTTGAAGAGCACACAATTTCAACATTTTATCATTTCCATAAATTCAACACATTTTCATTTCATTTTCAGGCGGCAATAAATAGACTTTCTTTCCAGGATTATTCTGGCTTTCCTGTTCACTCTGATGATACACTGAGGTTGGAACCCAATTACTGGATCAATTGGAACAGTTGACGAAAAACGCTGTTTCGAAGGATCACCAGGTTTTACTAAAACTTCCTCAGACACAACTGTTCATCGTATCACTTCAACATTGATCGGCAAACGAAGAAGAACATTCATTCCATCATACGATCTGCACGTCGAGGGTTGGGCTGGTCAACCTGCATCTTGAATGACCATCGCTTCCTCGCTTCATAAAGGAAAAATTTGAGAGACATTTTCACTGTGACATTTAAGCAATGTAAACAAACCTGCTTGAAGGTCGCGGCAAATGGATCAACAGACGGACGACTGCAAACTTTGTGGTGTTAAAATGGAAATTCATAAGAAAAGCACATGTGATTGTATACTCAAATGCGCCTAATTTTATTTTAATACGAAATTAAAAACTCATTTCATGTTATTCAATAGAAATATAATAACAAAAGTGCAATCTGTGTACAAGAAGGGAAGCAATGATAGATCGTGGTGAAGTTAGGCGTTTCGTCATCAGTAGCACACTAATCCGATTGGAGCATTATACAGCTCACCAATCCATGCTCTCGTTATCTCAGGTTATCATGAGTGAACTGTTGTTTCTGATGCATATGGAGTTCCCTCACTTTGCCATACACAAACTTATTGTTCAATTCACTGTGTGCTCATCTACCTACTTAACCTGGGATACAACGGGGTCAAATACAGAGCGATAGACTGACTGTCGTGTACTCATGTTACAGCATGCTGGGAAAAAAGCACATAATTGATCATCTAACCAGGGAGAGCAACTTACTGGAATGTGTTTTCAATTCAAAGTAGGCACTGGGTGCCTGACGATTGTCCACCAAATACTCAAAAGCTCCGGTCTTCCCGATGCGAATCGGATAGGTCAACATGATGGGCAGTCCGGTGCTCTCTGCGTAGATCGGCTGACTCTGATGTAGATGACTTATATTCAAATGACACGATTGATTGCCCCAGCTTTCAGTGTTATACAAGAATGGACGTGTAACCTGAAATATGAAACAGAAAGATATAGGTACACAATTTCAAAGCTTATTGATGAGGTTCCCTCAAAGCACAAATGTACTTTTGAACGGTCGAGTACAGAGAGAGAGAGAGTGAAGCGAAGCGAAGCAGGTGAATCAGTTGTTCCGTCTGGGTTGGGGGTCACCGGCAGCAGTGCAAATTCATCAATCCAACTTAAGAACAAATGAGAGAACTCACAGGTAGAAAGCAAGTATATAATTACACAAGGCAATTGACCAGACCGTTTTTCACCACATGGCACAAATCGTATTTCCCAGCTCGTGGTGAGTATCATATCTCGCCCAACTCTCAGCACTTATATTCAGTATTCTGATTCGGTTGGAAACATTCAGAATCTAGCTGCTTGGTGCCAGTAAGTAGACCGGCTCGTATGAAAACAGTTGTACAATTCCTACTTCGTCTGCTCTGTGCACTATGGAATTCGTCATTGAACCGATTAGTCCCCAATATCAAGCTTAGCTGTTCACATTTTTTGTTGACAGATTTAATTGCATTTGCATCTGTGTAATTGAGGGATGAGTCCATATCGTCATGCTTTATACTTTAAGAATGACCAAACAAACTTCTAATTTGATAATAAGTAGTGTGCGAATGACTGGACAATATTTCCCTGACCACCCGGTGTTGCGTGCGCTTCCAGGGAAATTTTCTCCTGTCATTCATATACTACTTATTATCAAATATTCTACCGAGACCATCAGGTCACGTTTGTTGCGATTAGTAGCATCTAACCCACGTACAAAACATCGAACCATAACGTTGATTCTTCATTGAACTGGCTCTGATAGAGCTGTCTATCCGATGGTCACCTGGTGTTGCGAAAAAAGATTATTGTGACGAAAACTTCTCATTGCCCATAAACGTGCCCTGAACTGCAGACACAAAAGTGGAAATTTCACAAGCGACTAGTATGACGTGCCGCATTTGACCCAATCAGATCCGGCCTACTGACAACGAAGATAAATGGGCGCTTTTACGCCCTGATTTAACTTTTTTGATCTACTCAGTGAATGAAAATAACCGACACAACATTTCGAGTTTGGTGAATCATTTGCATGAAACACCTAATTTGACGATGCACGCCACTTGGGTATCAGATACAAGAAAGATGCGCTAGTTCCTATCAGTTGTAAACAATGCGTTATTATCATTGATCCCGCCCATAGATAACATCAAGTTGTTTCGCGGATTTTCTCGGCGGGACAGCTCATTGTGCACGATCCGCTGTCACATGTGCTATCACAGACAGTAATCGTTCACTTATTTCATAATGAAAGATGTGATAGTTTCTTTCAAAAGTATGTTTAGTTTTGATGAACGAACGTTTTGTGATGTTATCTTTCAGTCTGCCTTTGAGACAAACAAAGTCAATCGGGGATTGGACATCATCACTTGAGTCGATTAATCGATACATTGAAAAATCAAAACCAGACATGTCGACCGGCGCGTGTACGGGTATGGGAATGAACACACGACATGTCTACGTTTGATGACCAGCAATTTTGACGCTTAGTTTTGGTCACCAATTGCTGCGATCACGCTACTGGGAAGCCAATCTCCGGCTAGATAAAAATGGAGGCAGACATTTTGGTGATCACAAACATTGAATGTATGCTTTTCATAATTTAGTTTGAGCGGTATGTGGTCGAAATGGCCAACACCAAAGTCTGATTCTATTACATTCCAAGCGGTTTTCGCTTGCACATTTGTGTTCAATAAAGTTTTACCGTTTGCTACACTGTGTAATGCACTGGTGCATAGGGTGGGGGTTAGGGTGGGATGGGGGGGGGGNGGGGGGGGGTAGATAAACATTTCTCAATGACCAACTGTTCATATATTAACACGCAATCACCACAGCATAATTCCGCCCCCTTCCCACGGCCTCAAATATATAACCGCACAGTTTAATTGCCCGAAAACTGTGCATCAAACTGCCTGTGTAACACTCAAAATGTGATACGTCATTATCATCTGTCGTATTTCAGCTCATTCGACTGATCTATTTTTAATGTGACCGGGCGTTTAGGATTCAACATGTTATCGTTAGATGTTTTGCACATCTAGCCGTAAGGCATTTTAATATGTACAGAGCAAATGGGATGTTACTTATGTGCTAGGTTTCAAAAATTTCCGGAATATCATCATCATCATCCGGAATATCATCATCACCTGTTCCGCCGTATCCGTTACGTCACACTGGAAAATACATTGAAGGGCTTTTGTTATTCTGATAGAAAGGGAAACACACAGAAAATCAGTCATATCTTAACCTTAGACTCTTACGCGTGCCTCCAGTATTGAGTATACGACACATCTCATACTGAGCTCCTGTTTGCCAGCTCCGGGCTGCTACGACACGTACAAACTAGATATGTTTCCCATACGGCACTTTTTATCAGAACTAGCGTGACTGTGACCTTTTTCAAAACGTAAATGTTTTTATTTGCCTTGACAACGTGACCATCTCTATGTCTTTCCGTGATTGGAGAACTTTGCGGACGCATGCTGTTAGAGTCCTCCTCCAGTTTAGCCATCATGTATGCAACTCAAAATTGCCCTCCTCAACCAAACAAAAACAATCTGTTTCATCGTCTATTTAAAGAACCAGGTGTATTTGATGATTTGAGTATTTCAAATTCTAAAAAGAAAGCATGTCTGATGATAACTATTGGGTATCATTAGATTTCAGTTGATTTAAAATGAGGCTAACGAAAACCGAGTAGGTAAGTTTAAAGCCATTCCAAAATCCCCGAAATTTATGACATGTAACGGAATTCCCAAGCATCGGTTGTCATACAATTTAAATCCATTTTGTGCCCTTTAGTCTAAGAATTATGTGCAGCCTTTTGAAAGGTGTTTTTTCATTTTCACTTCCCTTTTTGGAATACAAACTTATACAATTTTCAAGAAGGGAGAGGCGGACAATCAAAGGGATGCCGCCCAACACACAAATGGGGAAAGTCACGCGGTGAAAGTAGGATTCGAACTGTCATCCCCGGGGTGATAATTTGTTGTCATTACCACCACTTGGTGAACAATTATTTTTTTCGTGAGAACACACAGTTAGGGCCTGTAGTGGATGTTAGTGTTTCACTCCAAATTCTGTTCATATCATCTGGGCCTTTGGTATCGTGTATGTACTAGTCTTTGAGTCAGCCTACTGTCATGAGTGCTAGAAGCATGGGGATGCAAGTGCATTGTATTGTGAATTCCCGTATCCCCGTACTTCTCTCATCATAGTGTGAGTTGATGTGAGCTAATGTGTTTGGTTCCCTTGTGAACGGGGTTTGTAGCTCGTGTGAGAGAGTTGGCTTTGTAAACATAGATCAGGTATGTGCTTTGGAAGTGGCCGCACGGTGTAAAGACGAAGTGTTTTGGAGGGGGGTGATGATGCACTGGGAAACTATCCGAAAAGCGGAATCGATGTTTCACATAAATGACCTGTGTCTATTGTAGATCGTCAGCTGTCACGCTCGCTGTTGTGCACCCGCTCCGCTACCACAAAGCCAGCCAGTGTGCATAATGCTCTTAAATCCTTTGTGACAGTTGTCTCGTCGTGGGACCAATGTATGTTGCAATACAAACCGCGTGAGGAGAGTGTCTCACCGGAAATGGGTCCATTGCAGTCAACTATTGTTTTGCGAGTGCGTATGATTTGTGCGTAGGAATCGAGCTGCAGTGAAAGTTCGTTTTCCCACACGTTCAGGGCTTTTGTTCGCAAGCCCTGACAGGTTGTTTTTATCTCTCAAGTTCCAGCGAAGATTAACCGTACACTGTTTGGTTCGCATTCAAATACACCTAGAGAACTCATAGGACACTTACAATGACTTTCACTTTTGATGTATCCACTGTTTGGTAATAGATGTTTCGATGTGTTTCCCCTTAAAGTAACGGTTTACTCTTTCGATTCGACAATACACGTGAAGTAATGTAGAAGTTTTTCGGTGGCGAGGGTGCATTGGCTCAGTCACTGTCACTGGTGTGCTTTGAAGCGATTGGTTCGAGGTTCGAGCTCCGCCAGTGCCACCCAACTTGGTGGTAGGCAGGTTTGCTGTCATCCGGTTCAATAGTATGCCTAACCTAGCGGGGCCTTATGTGGTTCGTTACTCTATGTTCCGGTGCTTAGGTTACCGGTTGTCATCAGTGAACAGCAGATTTTCGTAACCAAGAGTTTCACCTCATCTACTGTTCAGCGCACACAAATGTATATAATAAAACAACAGTAAGTCATCCGCGACTGAAATTCCCTTCCTAGTGACGGTGGTGGTCTCGATGGTGGCCCTAAAAATGTGTTCTCCTCATTAGGACCGATTAACGTTTACAAATTTCGTTTTACTCGTATAGCTTGAGCACCGCATATCAACTAATTATGTAATCACTGAGCTGGATTCACTGAGTTTTGACTGACTGAGATCTTTTGGTCGAAATGCGTCAAAATTGACGATAATATGTTTCATTCTTTATCGAATAGGATTAATTCCTTTCAAGTGGCCGTCATTCAAACCCCACGGCACACATATACCCGACAAACAGTTGTGTGAGTTCCTAATCAATATATTTCCTGTGAAATCACAATTTCACTTCAACTTGCCTGCATCACCACATATTTCTCATCCCGATGTTTCTGTAATTCCGGTTTCATGTGACCAAACTCATCCAGCGTCTTCAACCGATAGAGAGTCAATTGGTCGGACCCAGACTCCCGTTTCACAATGGCTTCCGGCCAAATGGGTAGCTTGGACTGATGCTCGAGCTGGATCATCTTGTCCCATAACCACAATTGGCCGTGTTTTTGACGAGCGATTCGTTGCTGCATCAGATCCTCGGCACGACGTTGTACACGACTCGGACTGCCCCAGACCGCTGTTTGTTGGTCCAAACCAACCTTGTGGACATGCGTCGGTTCCGCAGCGGTCACTTCCATCTCCACAGGATCTGTTTGCAATCGGTTATCAATCACTAACCATGTGCGGACATAATACAAATGATCCGGTGGATTATGCCGTAAATGGCACAGGTAGCTCCCGTTGTTCAGATCGAATTCCGGATTCAAGGTGAATTTGAGTGTTTGACCTGAAACGAATTATGCACGGTCAAGTTGCACAATAATTTCAATGATATCGGCTACATAAGTAGGCTATCTTATTTTTCCTTACTAGTCAGCGTTCCACCACTCCAAAGCATCGTAACGGTAAGAAACGTATGGCTCCGTGATTTTAGTGATAGGATAAAAAAATGGTGAAACAATATACCTGTTTAACAGTGGAATTCCAGGTATACTCTCCTGAGGGGAGTGTGGAGACGGGGGTTGAATATACTCTCTTCCACAACGAACCTGTAATGTTGCTGGTGTTGCTTTTGATAACCCAAACAGAAAGGTCAATGGATGGAATGATTTATTCTGACGGTCTACGAACAGGTATTGATCGGCTGACATTTTCATTAGGCTTGCGCAGATTTTGGTCAACATTCATTTTCTGCTCGACTGTTTCTTTTATTTATTTTTTCGTATTCCCTTTATGTTTAAATTATAGTCTTCATTTTGCTCAACCGGAATCAGAGAAGGCAAATTTATCCCACTGGATGTGGGAAAGGTAGTAATTTGAACGGACGTCACGGGTCATCCACTCGCGCAAACACACATTAGCTAAAAAGCAAAATGCATATAAATGAATTGCCTGTCTTTCGTATAATTTGTGACCTCTGTTCAAACCATAATTAGATGTACATACTTGAGACTCAAACTGTACAAAGGAACCATGAAATGAGCTTATCTTCATACGCATTCAATCAAGGTTACTGTATAATGAGGAATTTTCACCGGCGCAAATACGCACCGGAAAAGATGTGTGTGGCTCCACTGGGTCTTAAACTGTACTCCGGTTATAGTGAACCTAATCCAACTACAGGGCAAGATGTTCTAGGAGAAGCAGACCGCAGTACTTTTAGTTTTCGAGGATTTTTATTCAATTAACCGCTAAAAATCAATGTGTGTATTTAGTGCTTTTCACCTACAACTAGGGTAAAGCCCATTCACCGATTGCTTCGTGCCTGTAATCTTTCCACCCATCTTGTAGCTCTCGAAAGTCGCGGTACCAAGAGGACAACATAGAAAGACAAGATATTCAGTGCACGCAATACACTGAAACGTTCGCAAGTTTCCACCGATAGGATTTTACTGTTTCCATCAGAAAGCACTGAACAGTTAGTTTTATTCCATGTGGTTACCTTAAAATCTGTTCCGATTTCTGGAAAACTAGTTTGGGTCAAAAATGCTAAAACGTTTGTGCTCGTTTTGCTCGGATATGGTAGTTTGAATGAACTTGAATTTAATCTCAAGTGTTTAATATTTAGCTTTGTAGTATAATAATCATTATACATCAACAGTCCAACACGAATTAAAGATCCGGCACTATCTTTTAAATAGTGCCTGTAATCGGTGCTGAATGAGATTTAATTTGGCACCAAATGGACTAAATGTTTGAGAAATCCGTATTTTTTTTCGTCAGATGGCCTTGAATTTTTTTCTTCCTGTTTCTCGCATACGAGAGAACAAGTGGAGTACATTACCGATAACGTGTGCAACCGAATCAGGTTATCAGGAAAAAAGACTTAATGCAAATATTTTCATTAACTGCAAAGGCGAAAAAGAGAACAAACAATGTGATGCGTCCAACTGCTTTCAAATGAATTCGCTTAGCACGCACGCTGAGCAAAAGTGAACCTCTCTGCGGACAATACAAAATGACAACTAACTACTAACGGACTACTTGGACAACGCACTGGCAGTGACTATTTCCTTTTACAGTGTCAGGCTTGGATTAGCCCATTCAATTGTTTAGGGGAACTAGGCACTCTTGATAGTCTTGAATGTGGGTTTCACTCCTTGGGAGATTCTGAATTCCCCAGGAAGTAATGCATT